CGCCAGCCGCCCCGGCGTCCGCGCCCTCCCACGGGGGCCGCCGCGGGCCCGGCCCCGGGAACGGCGTGAGCGTGAGCGGAGGCAGCGCCAGGGAGAGCCGCGAGAGCTTGGCTGCGAGGGAGAGACCCCGTGAGCCCCCGTCCCGGGGAACCGAGGCAGGCCTCCCACCTGGCCGTGTGTCCTCAGGTAAGCCCCGGCACAACCTGGGCCTCAGCCCCCCACAGCCCCGGGAACGAAGGGTGCACTGCGCCTTTCTCCACGCCGGGCGGGAAAGAGCCACTCCAGTGCTGAACCTCCCATGGCTCCCCAGTGCCCAAGTATAGGCCCAGCTTCCCCCACAGCCCAGCACTGGCCGGCTGGCCTCTCAGTCTCTGTCCCCGCCGCACTCTGGTTTGACCTCCCTCCAGACACAAGGGCTGCCTCCCCATTCCTCCCACCTCCAAGCTTCTGCACGTGCTGTTCCGTCTGCCTGGACTCCCTTTTCTAATGCGAATCCTGCTCATCCCCCAGCTCTGGGCTTCCAAAGCCTGCAGAGCGCTCCCCAGAAGGTCAGGGGGCACCCACCCCGCACCCCATACCACCGAGCACTTCGCCTTCCGAGCAGATTATCTGCGTGCAACTCTGTTTCCCGGGCTTTGTGATTAGTTTGCCTGGCCACGGAAAAGAGACTGACTAGCTCACTCACAGCGGCATTTCCAGGCCTCAGTCCTCAGTCACTATTTGGGGATTCGTGCATGAATGCTACCTGCTGTGTGATATTGACCAAGGTACTTCCCCTCTCTTGCCCTACACTGCCAAAGTCGGGGTGTCTAACCATCTCCAGGCCCCTTTCCTGTCCTAAGACAGCCTCAGCCTGCTGTGAAGGAAGGACTTTTAGGCCCCTGGGGGAGGAATCCTGGCTTGGAATGTCAAGCCTGTCTCGCCCACTTGCTGTGTGTCCCTGGGCAAACACATCCACCTCTCTGAGCCCGTTTCCTCACAGGCAAGTGAACAGGGGCCACTCATTCCTTCATGGGTGAAATGTGTGTCAGGCCCTGTGGGGGGGGTGGGAACCAGAGGATCAGACGTGGGGCAGGGAGAAAGACAGATGTGGGCTGAGTCATTCCCCTCTCATTCTCTCTGCTCCAGAATCTCTGACCTTTTGCTGTTCTCTAAATAGGCCAAACTGGTGCCCGTCTCAGTGCCCTCCGGTGGAACACTCTGCCCCTAGATATCCACCTGGCTCACTCCTTCCTTTCCTTCGTATCTCCTCAAAAGTCACCATCTTATTGAAGCCTTCTCTGAGCAAACATCTCGGGGAGGTTGGGTCATGGAGCTGTGCATACCCAGCACAGGATGACAAGCCTTAGAAATCACAACGTCTTCCCAGGGAAGGAGAAATTTGGGTGGGGCCATGAAGGATGAGTAGGAGTTCACTGGATGGAAAAAAGCAGGTCATTCCCTGCCTCTTCTCACCCAGCAACCCTAACCCAACCCACATCCCCCGAGGCATCTTAATTGCTCATCCCCCAACATTTTCATGCTGCCTGGGGTCTTTCCAAATATGGTCCCAAATCCTCACAACAATCTCAAGGAGGTGATAGTGTTCTAACACCACGGGCTCTGAGAAAGGAAAGTCCCGTGTCCAGTCCCCTTCCCGACCCTGACCTTGAGCCACAAGCTCCCCTGGTAAGTGGAGATGAAAACCCTTTCCTCAAGTGTGGCTGAGAGGTTGCCAGTCCAAACCAGGACACCGCCACGTATAACTTCACACCAGTATTTAAGGAAATTGGGCCTGCCCGAGAGTCTGGTGGAACCATGTTCCCTGTGTCCACATCTAAACTGGGCTGTTTCTCTTGACCCTCCACCTGTCCTCTCTTAAACAGTTCCCTCCATGCCAAAACACTTCCTGTGTTCCTACCAAAACCCAGTTTTCAGAACAGGTGTTACCTTCTAGCTCCCCGGTCCCTTGGATCCCAGCCTGCCTGGGTCCCAGCCTGGCTGGGTCCCCATCTCAGGCAGCTCAAGGCCTGGCACACAGGAGGCCTGGCACACTGACGGACGCTTACTGGGTCCTGACCCAGTCACAGACAGGCTTCTCTCGAATCGGTTACAACCATTTAAAGAAGCCCGGAGCTCTGGTTGAAAAGGACAAAGCCGTGGATTCGGCGACACCAGGTGGGCATTCCTGAGAAGTGGCTGCCGCCTCTGGAGAGGGCATTGTCTCCTCACCCCCTCACCCGCTTCCTCCATTTCCCTCTACTGGCTGGCCCCCTGGGCATCTGAGTTTGAGACCTCTGGCCTAAATGAATTGCAATAATAAAACCAGATGCTTAATGAATCCCCAGCACTGGGTTAAGTGCTTTGGAAGTCCTAACTCATTTAACCTTCACAGCAACCCTGCGCGGTGAACGCTATCCTTGTCATCTGTTTCTGGCAGATGGGGAAACTGAGACACGGATCAGTAAGACCACAGGGCTAGGGAGGGACAGAGCCAAGACTTGAGCCCAGGAGCCATGGCTCCAAGGACTGCGTTCCCCACCTCCAGCCTGACCTGACACCCTCAGCTGCACCACCCACCTCACCGGGGCCCGGCCTCGGCCTCCACCTGTCCCATAGCCTCCTCACCTTTGATCTGCTCGCTGTTCCCCTGAGGGGGTCCCAAGTCCAAGAACAGTCGTGGCATCTCGGGGCCCTTCCTCTCGACCTTGGGGGGGTCCCCGCCTCCGCTGGGTGCCGTGTCTTCGCCGACCCTGCTGTCCGGGGCCCCGGGCCCTCCCTCGGAGGCCGCCTCCGGCCTGGCTCTCGGGGGCGCTGGCTCCGGCCTCCTCGGCTGTGTCTCCG